GTCCTAGCTACTTGGGAGGCTGAGGCAAGAGAATTGCTTAAACCCAAGAGTTTGAGGTTGCTGTAAGCTGTGATGCCATGTACTCTACCAAGAGCAACAAAGTGAGACTCTGTCTCAAAAATAAAAAAATAAATGAAAGTAAAATGGTTACTATATATTGTTGGAGGAAAAGACAGATTAGAAAATATTATTGTAGGCTAGGGTGCCTGTAGCTTAGCAGCTAGGGCGCCAGCCACATACATTGGAGCTGGCGGGTTCAAACCCAGCCTGGGCCTGTCAATCAACAATGACAATTACAAGAAAGAAACAGCCAGGCATTGTGGCAGGTGCCTGTAGTCCCAGCTACTTGGGAGACTAAGACAAAAGAATCGCTTATGCCCAAGAGTTGGAGGTTGCTGTGAGCTGTGATGTTACAGCACTCTACTGAGGGTGATATGATGAGACTCTGTCTAAAAAAAAAAAAAATATATATATATATATATATTTGGCAGGAATGCTACCTATGAATGCATACATGTATATGCATGTGCAATATAATAATCTGTAAACTGGAATAAAATTTTATGGTATTACTTCTACTTCATGTTATCCCAGGTGATCTTTACTTGGTTCTGCTCTATAGTCTCTGAATTTTTTATTAAAAATTTGTATCACTTACACCTGGACACAGTTACCCTCACATTTTCATTGCCCTTAGGACTACGGGAAGCTGATAGGAAATGACTAAGTATCATCACTTAATAGCAATAGCTAGTATTTTATTAAGGAATACCTATGTGCCAGCGTTACAGATCCTTTGTTACCTCTACAAAACAATTCTGTTAAGTATATACCCTGTTGCGGTTCCGACTTTACACATGAAGAAACCATAGCACAAAGAAAGTGTCCCAACTCATTCAGATTTCAGTGGCATTCTGAATTCAAATCCTCATAATCTAGGTTCAAATTTCTTAATCACTGCACTATTCTACACCTCCCTCAGTTTATCCAGGACAATACATATAGATATACTTAATACAAATTCGTGCTGCCAAACCTCAAACCAGATCTGGCTGGTACAAAAAATTTCTATTCAAGAATTATCCTGGCAGGCTCGGGGGCCTGTAGCTCAGTGGCTAGGGCACCAGCCACATGCTCCAGAACTGGAGGATTCGAACCCAGCCTGAGCCTGACAAACAATAATGACAACTATAACCAAAAAATAGCTGGGCGTTGTGGCGGGCACCCGTAGTCCCAGCTACTTGGGAGGCTGAAGCAAAAGAATCACTTAAACCCAAGAGTTGGAGGTTGCTGTCAGCTGTGATGTCACAGTACTCTACCCAGGGCTACATAGTGAGACCCTGTCTTAAAAAAAAAAAAAAATTCTCCTGGCAAAAATCCCTCTTCCTACTCCAGAATCACTAAAGCCATCTAAGCCCTAAACTACTCTTTAACAAATCATTGTTAAAAACAAAGCATGAACATTACCCTCTAGCAGGGTTATTTCCGTATCATTCAAAAACCTCAGATTGAAAAACAGTGCTTACAGAGCATTTGAATGGTTAACTAAGTGTGTCTAACTGCAGAAATGCATGAAATGGGCAACAGACACAGGGAAAGTCTTAGACTCCCTGCCTTTAACTAACTAAGGAAATCCTAAGGCCCAGTTAATAAGTAGATCATTCGTAAGCAGAACTTCTGAAGGGAAGGAAATCAAATGCATTTCACAGAAACAAAAGCAACAGCACAAACTCACAGGAACCCGGCTTTAAAGTATCAGCAATTCGTTCCACCTCCTCAAGGGCGGTCTTTGGAAACCAGCAGTGCTGGGGAAGCAGACAGAGTTCATAATACCCCAGGTATTCTTGGCTCGGTCAGAACCAATCCTCCACGCTTTTCTGGCCGCAACTAATCGCCACCTGAACGCACAAATGGAAATGAGGAGAGAGGAGAATGTCCTCAGTCACAGCGCTAGGTGTGCAATAATTCGACACCAGGGCCGCCCACCCCCCGGGGCCGCCCGCTTCAGCTTCCTCGGAACTGTCCATCATGTCCCTTTAGCACCCAGAGACCTGCCCCGAATCCAGGACCCGGCGTTTTGCAGAAGACCTTTATTCGGAGGCTCCACCTCCGACTTCTCTCTTGGGCCTTTTCCCTACCGCCGAGCTATGCACAGGACCCAGGGCCTCGCGCTGCACGACAGGCCGCACCCACAAACCTGGCCCCCAGCCGTTAATGCCGCACAAGCCTCCAGGCCTCAGGGACGCAGAATCCGGCGAAAACGCACGGCTGCTTGAGAGTTCAGGCACCTTTTCTCCACCTCCACCCCGGTCTGCAGCCTCTGGCCCGTGGCATGCTCATTTCCCCGAGAAAAGCAGCTGTCACACGTGAACCTGTCTCCCGCGACCAGGCCTCACTCGACTCGCAGAACCGCTCAGCCCAAGGAGCCTGCAGCGATCCTGGAGGGAGCGGACCCGATAGAGTGCGCATGCGCGCCGGGGGCGGGGCAAGCACCGCGGACTCTCCCAGGCGAGCCCGGCCGGGTTTGGGAGGAGGCGGTCCAGTACAGAGGCTGGAATCTGGAGGGGCAGCGGTGTCAGATAACTTAGACCTTGGAAGGGTGACAGCGTAACTGACCCCTCTTATTGAGATAATCCGGGCGTGATCCCCTGTAGGAACTGTAGTCCAAAATCCGAAAAACCGTATACTGCCCTTTTTTCATTTGGTTCTTGGCTCCGCGCCCAACGGAACCTGTGAGCAAGGCGCCGCCACACTGAAAGCACTTGGAAATTGGTTTCTGGGCGGAGTGTGCAGGCACCGTGGTTGGGGACTAGAAACCAGGGTGAACTCTAGGCTCCTTCCAGGAAAGAAAGAGATGAGTGGGGTCGCACCCGCGAAGAGAGTGGGGAAAGTGGGCGCTAGGAGCTTAAGTTGGGCTGTCCAAATCTTTAGGCCTGTAAAGGTGACGTTAGAGGTGTTTCTCATTAAACTTTTAACCATTAGGTTAAGCATTCATTGAGGATTTTTGCCTGAAACACTTACAATGGTTGCGATCTGGAAACTTTCTAATTATTTTTCTTGTTACAATTTATTACTTGACTTTCCACTGTAAGAAAAAGCTTTCCTTTCTCTACCCATTTCTTTAGTCTTTTATTAACAGTACAGACTTGTGGGTCCTTTTTTTATTCAGTGAGTTATAATTTATTTCATTTCGATACCCAGATCATACCAAGATTTGACCTATAGGAGATCCAGCTGGATATGGTGGACTTTTAATAGGTCCCCAATACTCTTTTACTATTTTCTTATTTTATGGCATTAAAACATACTTCAGGCTCAATCTTGTACTTTATCTGCCCTAGCTCGGATTGTGGAGAGCAAGACATTGTACTAAAATGAGGCTGAAGAAATAGGGAAGGATTTTATCGTCTATGCAGGGCAGATGGGTAATTTTACAGATAAGTAATAAACTGTCATATTTCAAAAAGTAACTGTTGATTAAAATATACAGAATATACTGAATATGAAGAGTACTGTATTAAATGCGCTTGAAAAATCACTTGCTCTAAAACATCAAAAAAATCTCTATCATTCTTGATTTCTTTGATCATCAATAGGAAAATTCAGTTTTCTATCTTCTACATTATAGGGAATATGTGAATCTGAAGACAATGCATACAGAGGTAATATCCCATTGTTAAAAGCAGGAAG